TTTTTTTTTTTTTTAAATTAAGACAGAGTCTCACTCTGTTACCCTGGGTAGAATGCTGTGGTGTCATAGCTTACAGCAACCTCAAACTCTTGAGCTTCAGCAATCCTCTTGCCTCCGCCTCCCAAGTAGCTGGGACTTGAGGCGCCTGCCACAACTCCCAGCTAGTATTTTCATTTTTAGTAGAGACAGGGTATTGCTCTTGCTCAGACTGGACTTGAACTCCTGAGCTCAAGCAATCCACCGGCCTCGGCCTCCCAGAGTGCTAAGATTATAGGTGTGAGCCACTGCATGCAGCCTTACTGTTTCTTCACATTGGGTAGTGGGAATACAAATTTTGAGTTCTGTGAATTATTCACTCCATTACTTTCTGATGGTTCTCTCTTAGACCTTGAGGAGTTTCATCTTATACGTGTAAAGATTACTATGTAGGCAAAACACTGAGAGGATTTCTCTGCAGATTTCTGATGCCGTTCCTATCCCTTCAGCACTTTGCCACACTTTCTCAGACTTTTTCTTTTCTTTTTTGGAGACAGAGTTTTACTACATCACCCTTGGTAGAGTGCCATTATGTCACAGCTCACAACTACCTCAAACTCTTGGGCTCAAGAGATCCTCTTGCCTCAGTTTTTCATTTTTAGTAGAGACAGGGTCTCACTCTTGCCCAGGCAGGTCTCAAACTGATAAGCTCAAGCAATCCACCCGCCTTGGCCTCCCAGAGTGCTAGGATTACGATGTGAGCCACTGTGCCCAGCCCACTTTCTCAGACGTTGAGCTCTGTCTCTACTCAGAGGGTCACCAATTTCTGCTTTAGTTTCCTTTCCTTATCCTACAGCCTAGAAACTGTCCCCAGTTAGTAAGCCAGGGGAATTAAAAGGATCACCTTACGTTTTCTGGTCTCTCAGGGATCATAGTCCTGTGCTAGTTGTTGGCCTCTGTCTAAAACTGTGGTTTCATATATTTTATCCAGTTTTCTCATTGTCGATAGCAGGAGAGGAACTCCTTTAGCAGTTAATCTTTCTCTAACAGCTAAGATTTATGGAGTATCTAGTGAGTGTCACACTCTGTTATAATCACTTTACATACAACATCTTTATTTATTTTTGAGACAGAGGCTCACTTTGTTGCCCCCTTTGTAGAGTGCCATGAAATCATATTTCACAGCAATCTCAGATTCTTGGGCTTAAGTGATTCTCTTGCCTCAGCCTCCCAAGTAGCTGGGACTATACAGGTACCCACCACAATGTCCAGCTTTTTTTAGATTCAGGGTCTTGCTCGAGCTCAGGCTGGTCTTAAACCTGTGAGCTCAGGCAATCCCAAAGTGCTGGGATTACAGGCATGAGCCACTATGCCCACCATCTCATTTAATAATCACAACATCATAAGGGAAGTACTTATCATTCGCAGGCAAGGAAACTAAGGATCCAAAGAATTAAGTACCTAGCCCAAGATACTACAGTTAGTATAATAAAAGGTGAAAGTAGATTTTAATCTCAATAGCTTAAGCTCTAATCTACCGTATGTAGTATAATGGCCACACTATCTTTGAAGAGTAAATGAGGAGATCAGGAGACAAGGAGGAGTCCTGGCGTGTATTAAGATAAAGCAAGAACCAGGCTCGGCGCCTGTAGCTCAACCGGCTAAGGC